AGGGTTCGTTTTCGCCTGGTGACAAGCGTCGAATCATGTTGATTTGATGGGCTTTCGAGGTGAGGCGAGGCGCCGGCAGGGTGCGCATGCGCACCGCCAGCCTCATTGGTATCGTTTGGGGTTTGGGGTGGGCCGATGTGAGCACCACCTTACAACTGTCAAAGTGCATTCGCGCTCCGACCGCCGCCTGCCACGGAATGCCTAGCAGAACATCATACGCCTGTACATCCAGCACGATCACGTCATATAAACAATGTACCCGCCCCACCTGTATGGGCACGTTCGTTATTCGCCCTTTACAATGAATACTATCTTCCGTAGCGGATATATACAGTTCATCCGGTCGGAGGGGCTGAACCTGTCCTTCCCTTCCCAACTGTTTCGTTAATCTCCAAAAAATGGCGACCGCCGATGATCCCGAGTCTAGGATGGCGGCCGAGGGGGTTCCCCAGACCTCACAATCACACTCTACGCTTTTCCAGGTTATAGGATAGGCCCGGAGGAATACCTTGGGTTTTTCCGAGGCAGAATCTATGGTCTGGATCATCCCTATCCGGTTGGCTTCATGCACCTCTGAGGTTGAGGGTTGTGGTTCCTCGTTGGCGGGTGGATCCCGTAGGACCGGCTTTTTGCCCTTTCGACTTTCCTCGAATCGGCGCCTGTTTTTGAGGCACCGTTCGATCAACTTTTCGTTAGCCGCTTCAGAAATGGTTAGCAGATATGCAATAGGGACGGGGATCCGAAGATCCAGAGCCTTCAAGGCATCCAATACGTCGATATGGCCATCCTTGTATTCAGGACCAGGTACCGCAAGATCTTCGAACCCTGGTCGCCACGGCCCAAGGTCGCTTTCCTCAGTAATTCGTTGGACGTGACGTATCACTCCGATGGTCCCGGGTTCGAACATCGCTGATGCCATATACTCATCGGGTCCTATCTCAGTGGCCGCAGGGGTCACCATCTCCATCGTTCCTGTGTCCATTACCGTGGCTACCCTCCCCTGTCCTGCAGCGATGGGAGCAGCCAGTGGGATTTGGGAAGGTTCGGTAGGACCGCCTTGAGTTCGGGGTTTCGGACAATCTTTCGCAAGATGGCCTGGCTGATTACAATTATAACAGCGTAGGGGTGGGACTGCCCCGGCCACGACCGGTCTTATCATAGGGGCTCCGGCAGCCATAGCCGCCTATTGCCGTTGTACGGCGGCTATGCGTTGTCGTTGCAGACCTTGAACAAACTCCGTCAACGGGGCTACTACCGTAACTAATTGGGCCGCGACCTCTTTCATGGATACTTCTTCCTCGCCCCGGCCTCCTTGCGTTTGACTAGGGCGACAGGAGGCCGAAGCAGAGGAGGAAGCTTTCCGATCCGAGCCTTTTTTTGTCGGACCCAACCCGAAGCGATCTTCGAACATACGTGCCGTAGCAGAGTAGCTATTGCGTTGAACGCCCGAAGGGTCATCTTCGTCGGATTCTGAGTCCAGGCCCACATCGTAATTTTCCTTCTCGTACTCAATTGCGTACTAAATTAGCTCCGTCACGGTATGTTCTATAGGGTTGCATTTCTTGCGGATCTTTTTCGACAGACGAGAATCTGACAGTCCTCTGACGAAATCAGTCCGTACCATCTTCTCATCCACCCCGGAGCGCTCGGCTAGGTACGTAAAACGTTCAGCATATCTAGCCAAGGTCTCCCGAGGCTGCTGTGTGTATTCCTTTATTAAACGGAGGCATTGACCTGGTGCGATGTGANGTGTATTCCTTTATTAAACGGAGGCATTGACCTGGTGCGATGTGATCAAATCTATCGAGAAATTTCCTCTGGAAGGCTGCCCAATTAGTAAAGGGGTTTTGTCTGTACCACTCAAACGCGGTTCTGGCTAACCTTCCGGGGCTTCGTTCTCGGAGCAACTGGTCCGACCAGCCCTGGGCTTTCAAGGCAGCCAGCCAGGTGCGAGGATCGGTGTCATCCTCAGAAAAAATGGGAACTTTGGAGGGAGGAGGTACAAAGTACAGGGGATGATTGACCATCCCCGCATGGTTGTCGCCGTCGTTTGCCCCCACGATTCCGGGTTCCACCATCGCGGGAGGCGGGTTTCGAGCCCGGCCCCTCGCTCGGTTCGGATTGCTATTCGCGGGCCTCCGTCGACGGGGAGCCAGCCTACTCAAAAAAAATTCGGAAATTTTAGTAAAATGATCAAAAAGGAAAAAGGAGAAACTTTAAAACAGGGCAATCGTCCTAGGAAAACCTCGGAGCCGAAAACGAATCAGCTCTGATACCAACCTCACGCCCCCTTGCGGATTCCCGTACGGGATCGCCGATCAGAGTTCTGGGAGGGGCGTGCCCGAGGATTTTTGGCCGTAAGGGTTGAGTCTCTCGGACGGAACGGGAGACTCTCATTTGGTGGCCGAGGTTTTTCTCGGAGTCGAACAATCGCCGCAGAGTCGTGTGGGGGCCGAATCCCTCCGAAACGATAAAATCAAAAAGGTTTCCGCAAAAATGAACTGCCGCCATGCATCGGGACGGAAAAAGGCATCAAGGGGAGAGGGCCATGGCGGTGGAAGACAAACTTCGATCGTCAGGGGTTTGGGGGATAGATGGTGGGTTCGAAGCCTTCGGGCCTCGTCATCGACTTCACAAAGTGTCTGAACCCTCGGGTCTTTGTTGTGGAGGTGGGTGGTTCGAGGCCTTCAGGCCTCGGCGTCGGACTCACAGAGTCCGCGCGAAAGTTTCCGGGAGGGTAAAGAGACGGGAGGACTCGTCTGTATCTGAATTCGAAATTGCGCGGGCAGCGCCCCCGCACTACGGGAAAGTTCGGGGAAACGTGTCGCTCCCTCGTAACCCAGGACCGGTCGTCACCACGAGCACGAGTCCCCCTGGCGACACCAGCGACAATCAAACTGCGGTCGCCACGCGTCGTGAGCAGCCGACCAGGGCAACACCGTGAAACCCGTATAAGGCAATATCAGAGTCGGGGAATCAAAACGATCAATCAACACAAACCCATTCCCCCTTATCTCACAGGATCGCGGCGGGTCTTGCCAACACACTTGCTCCGTCCGCCTCAGCGCGCGCCGTACGTCCGCATCGCAGTAGACGCTGTCGTCATCTGTGATGGGGAAGGTCGGAAGCGAGATGAGACGATCGGAGGAACGTGATGAACACGGGCAAGATCCCGCGTTCCCAGTCATCCGAGCCAACACCGAATCCATACAGCAATCGTTGCAACCTTTCTTTTTTCTCTCAAAAGTGAATGCGTAGGGGAGGGGAGATGACAAAATCTAAGCTTTCTCCTCTTGGCGGGGGTGTCGACCGTCCGCGCGGACGCAGGCGGTTGACGTCACCGGTACGGGGACGATAAGCTCGAAAAGCGATGACCGTCAGTTCCAAGGAAGGCGATCGGGGAAGGGAAGAAGGGAGAGAAAGAGAGTGAGAGAGTGAATTACGCCGATACCGTGCGAGAGCGCAGGAAAGACCGCGGAGGGGAGGGGAACAACCGGATCAACGCACTCATACTCCTAAGCAGATGGTTTCCCAGTTCAGTTTCCCCATCCCCGCCCGAACGAGTACATATACACGTACATGCATGCAATCAATAACACTCGACAGGACATCTAATCATCCATGGACCGTCGACGTCACTCATGCGTAGAACAAGCTCCCATCATTCGGGGCTTCACACACACGACATGCATAGACAAAGCAGCAATGGAGATAAAAGCGAGTCCCTCTTGTAGACACAAAAATTTCAATTGACTGCCGTCCCCAAGCGCAGCCTTCAAAAACTTCCCAAGACCACCGACCACCATAGCCACAAGGCCCTGCCGCGGCCGGCGTCCAATCCCCACCACTGCTCGGTCCCTCCGACTGC